AGATAAGATAAGATAAGATAAGATAAGATAAGATAAGATAAGATAAGATAAGATAAGATAAGATAAGATAGACCTTTATTGTCATTGTACAGAGCACAATGAAATTACAGTTCAAAACACCCATTCAGAAGAAGACAGAACATAACAAACATGGTTGGCGCCATGTTTGCATTTTGGCGCCATTTGAGCCAAAATGCAAAAATTGTGTGTAATGCTTTGAAAAAAGTGTGTGTTTTAGAACTGAACTTTTAGTTTAAAGCAGAAATTGTTAGATTAAATTATTGCATGAGTTGATGCAAAATGAGACTGACTGCACAGTTAGCTATGGTTAGGAAGTAGATAGAAGTCTTTTTTTAATTTGTAAGACAACAAATATTCTAATTTATAAAATGTAACAAGCTTGAGACTTTAGGTTTCACATCATGGTTCACTAAATGTGATTCAGAAGCTTCACTGTTTTACGACATGTCATTAAACTCAAGTGAGAACAAAAAGGTCACTATATTTCCACATCAGCAGATCTCAGTTTGCAATTTATGTATCTTAATTAATTCAATGAAACTCAAAGAAACACATTTAGTTCACTTATTCTGCTTTCATCATTCTCAGAAGTGAAGCTCAATAATGTTCCATTTTTTACTTCTGCAAATTTGACATGCACCGTGGTTAAAAATGTGCTCTATTTTATTTCTATGACAAATGCTCACATGTCCTGTGTTTTACCGACTCGATGAGCACATGGACTAAAAAGAGGTATTTTTGGAGACCTTACATTAAAAGGAAATACCCACTCTTGTGTTTTCTTTGATTTTTGTTTGAAGGTCTGAGCTAAGAAAGCTTGTTGATGACATAAACTGTATTTTTGTCTCTTAAAATATAAAAATTAATTAATAAATCTACATAAAAATGGGCTATTTGTTCTTTCTTTCTTTTTGTTAACGCCTCTTGGAGCAGTCCTCACCGCCCCACCCAGGGTAACACCTGCACCGAAACTCAGACTTCCTGAGCTGAACCTTCCGAGTGCCCGTCTGTGCTACAACCTGGTAGTTTCTCCTTCCTCCCGGTTTCTCCTCCGACACCACCTTCCACTCAGCGGGATCGAGGTGGAGGTAGCTCCGGGACTTTAAGTCCTTCCTCTGGCACCGTCCCTGAGAGGAGCACAGGCTCTGACTGCAGAGGACAGCAGCCGACGTCACGTTGACCAGATAAGGACCTAAAGTGTCATCGATGAAGGATTTGACGGCAACACAAGAAGCCTGGAAAATAAAAATGAAAAAAAAGGATGAATTTTATTTTAAAAGTTAAATGTGAAATAATCCCAAGAACAATATAATACACGAACATTAGATTTTAGAAATGAATAAAGACAAATCAATCTTTATAAATGCATGAATCATGTGTAGTTTTCATGTTTTCTAGGAGGTTATTAACATCAAAGCGCTCCATCCACAAAGTTAAATGTTGTGTTTGTGTTGTACCTTAGATTTAGAGAAGGTACTGTCGCCCCAAAGCACCACCCCTGCAGATCCGACAGCAGCGCTCTCTCCGATCGTGTAAACCAGATGTTCCTGCGCGGTAAGAACATTTCCATCAGGTCACAATAATCCCAGAACGTTTCAGTAGATAAGCCTGCTACTCGCCTCTGTGAGGAAGCTCAGCGAGTAGGTGTAGACGATGCGGGCATAGGGGAAGACGGGCGGCTCGGCCGGGGTCACCTGAGCCGAGGCCCTCATGGCCTCCAGGATGCGGTGACGAACGTAGAGGAGCACTTCTCTGCCGACGTCGCGGAGCTCCAAGCTGAGGTAGATGTCGGGGTACAGAGCGGAGGAGACGTTCCACAACCACCATAGCTTGTCATTCCTCTGCAGCTCCACAGCCGGACACTCCCCTGTGTAGTTTACCGTTTTGTTGCTATATTGGTTGTAGCAGCTGGGAAACCCGTAAAACCCCCACAAACCATTTGGCCTCATCTTCTGCCCCAGTTTTAAGGTTTCCTCCATGAATTTCCTCCCAAACTGCTCGAACTCCTTTCGTGCAGCGGCTTCCACCTGAGCAGGCTTCCAGTCTGGATGCTTGGACTTCACCAGCGCTCTTGAACCTTCCCAGTACACCTGTTTACTGGCCCAGTTTCTCTCCCACACGGGTCTCCAGCTCTCCCAGTCCACCACAGCCATGCCCTGGAAATCTTGTTCAGGCATGTAAGCCGTGATGTTTAGACCCGTAACGCTGAGGTGTTCCTCAAGGCTGCCATTCTGTGGAACCCCTCCGTTAACAGCGACCCCCTTGTCCGAGTATCTTGGGTACAGGCCCAGCTTTTCGGCGTAAAAAATGGTAATGTTTCCCCCCATAAAGGTTTGGTTCTGGTTCTGGATGATGCTGAACATGCCCAAGTCGAGGTCCACACCGTAGCGGGAGAGGCAGAGCTCAGTGGGGGCGTTCCACACGGTGAGGAAAGGAAAGAGGGAGAACATGGATGCAGCCTGCAGCCCAGTGATGAGGCTGATCAGATGGAAGAGCGGCAGAGTCTCAGGCTGAAGAGACCACATCTCTGCAACGAGGAACAAGTCAGTGTTGGTGTCACTCTGCTGAGGTGGAGAGTTCGAGGAAGGCATTTCAAAATAAAGCTCCTATTGGTTCTTGTTTTGCAACCTCAATAGTTGTGATGTTTGTGTAAAAAGTAAATTAAAAACATGAACTCATATTTTATTCACAACAAACTGGGGCAAACATATCAAATATTGTAACAGAGAAATTGTACCTTTTCTGGGGAAAAAAGTAATTAAAAAAACTTTGAATTTGCTGCTAATAACATCTGAAAATAGTTGAAACAAGACGACAAAAGGCTGTATAATAACTAAATTAGAAACAGCAGAAAGATCATTTTGCAGTTAGTTAGTTTAGGTTGTGAGAGGCCATAAAAACTAACTTTTCACAAAGTAATTTAGAATTTGAAATATTTAACTGTATATGTTACTCTTTATCTGAAAACCTTCAATGATTTACCAGATAACCACAAACATGTGTGGAGTATATTCCCCTGGACTAAAAGCAAGCTATAATTTTACACAAAGTGTAAAAATAAAGCTAAAAGATAAAGCAAAAAATGTTACCTCACACTCACTGTTCTGGTTTACAGCTGGAGAGGGATTGTGGTCTGTTCAAGAACTTATGGTCTTGTGTTCTGACCAGAACAGGAAAAGAAAGAGGAAGTGAGGAGAGAGAAAAAAAAGTGAACCAATCTGATGTGAGAAGTTTTCCACCAACAAATGAGAAGGAACATGCAAATTGTGCGAGCAGACTTAAAGTCACAGTCAAAGAAAAATGACTAAAGTTTGTCTAAAGTTTATAACTTATTCTGGTCAAGGAGTCTGTTCTATCTGCCGGCACATGACCCGGACAGATGAGGAGGGAGGAGTTAAAACTAAAATAAGCAGAAAAGTGCAGTAGGAGGAGGTGTCACCTAAAACTTATATTTCTCTGGCATGATCATCCCAAAGCACATATATAGATAAACATAAACCTTTAGAATATTTTTTCTCATTATTCAATAATTATTACATTTGTTTAGCTGAAGAATTTTAGTAACTAACATGTTTTAAACACAGCCGCAACTTAAAATAAACTTTTTAAAAATAAGAATGGAACAAAAGAAATAAAACAACTTTTAACTTSTCTTAAAGTTAATTTCAGTATAATATTATTATTATGTATTTATGACAAACCTTTATTAGATTTAATTTTATTAAATCTTTTCTCCATGTTTCTTAGCAGACCTCAAATAAAAGTTCAGGTTAAAGTCCGTTTTTCATTGTTTTTATCTTCATAAAATACTGATTTTATGTTGTTTTATTAATCGCAGGAATTTTGTAAAATGCTCTTTAAATGGCTGGAAAATGCTTAGTATACCCCTGACCCTGGAACTGCTTCACTCCACAGCTGCTYGTTAACATGAACAGGTGTTGCTCCTTGCTGACAGCATGACATTGACAGATTTGAGGTAAACTTCTGGTATTCTTTTTCAAATAAATTATATTAACTATTTTATTGGACAACCTGATTTCTTTAGATATAAATATTGAAGACAGTTAGTTAATTTGGTATATGATTTGGTAGCCTGGCCCTTGCCTTCCTACGCAGCTCCGCTCAATTCTAGTTTCCCTTCACTGCTCCGTCTGGGATTTCTCCCAAGGGCGTAATCACCATCTTAAAAGTGTGTGTGTGTGTGGGGGGGGGAGACACAATTTTTAAAGGTCTTTTTTATCTGCTTCGGCTGAAAAAAGTGAGGGGGCAGGGACAGAGGGCACAGATATTGGAAGTGGGGGGGACCTGTCCCACTCGGTGCCTATGGCGGTTACGCCCATGATTTCTCCCATAGACAAGGATTTCGCTGGCAGATTTTTAGCCGAACCAATCGGAGAACAGAACGTTGATTTTCTGCAGTGTCTGCTTTTAATTTATTTTACCTGGGCCAATCAGAGAACAGAAGGCGGAGTTTGCTAGTTAGTTTAGCATACGGCAGTGGAGGAAGTGAATGAAACCAGTCCGTGTTGATAAGGCTTCCAAATTAAATTAAATTAAATTAAATTAAATTAAATTTGTCTGACAAAGCAGCAGCATCATTTACAGCCGTCTCGTTCGGCTCGGTACTTCTCTCCTCTCAGTAGGGTTGTTTACAGC